AGTTGCTGGGCTTAGTGACGAGAGAATTCTTAAAAGGTTAATAAATGCTGTGCCGAATGGTAAGCGTCCGAGGGGTTGACCTAAGCGACGGTGGGAAGATTGCATTAAAGCCGATCTGAAGGGACTATGTTTGGACGGCGAACGGTGGGGGGAGTTGTGTAATAAGCATTTGGTGGTGTCGGCATCGAACCTTAGGGTTTGCTAAGCCTTTTATTATCATATTATTAATTTTATGAATTAACATATTAATGGTGTCTGAATTGTAGGTTTGTAAATACGCTGCCGGGCAGGGGAAAGAAAAAAGCAAAAAAAAATAGTTGTTTAAATCTGTTATATAAAAAATAGTTAACTATATAAAATATGAATGAATTTGATAATTAACTAAAGGAGAAATAAGAGATTGCAACGGGATAAATAAATAAGAATACCTGGTTATACCTGAGATGTTTGGAAACCATGGTCCCAATTCGACAAGTTGTAAAACATCAAAGGCAAGTCAAAAAATCCATGCCTGGGGAATTGCAGGGTTCTGGGAAGGGTTTCCGAGGAGGTATTAAATCCCCGCCCACACTCCCTGGCCCGGGAAAACCCCCGTATAGCCTTAAAGGCGAGGAAGGAGAGGATAGAAAAAAAAAAAATCTTTGTGTGTATGTATAATATATTTGAAAATTGTTAACAAACCAACTGTATTCCTAGTTTTATTTATATTTATAGGTTGGAGTCAGTGAAATCATCTCATCACTCCATATTTAAAGTGAAAATTAAAGAATGTTCATGAATTAATCATAAAATCTTAGGACATGTTGCTACATACAATTATCATTGAATATTAACTGAAATTTCTATAATAGGAACATACAGCGTGGTAAAATACATATGCATATCTAGGCATTAGCTCAGTCATCTAGACGACTTTTCCAATTGCCTTAATTGACTTTAGTTTACATAATTAGGACCCTCCTAAGATTTTAACACATACATAATTATTATTTTATGTTTAATAAAATTAAAAGTTTAGGTATACATCATTTTGTGTTAGTAAATAATCCTTTTTAACATTATTCCAACAAAATTTAAGAGATTTATTTATTAAATCCTTTACTGTCCAGAACTTTATTTTAATTTTTGTATACTTTTTTGTTTAATTTTGAAAAATGCCTAAAGTAAAATTAATATGTATTTAATAAAAAAGAATATTCATTCATAAGGTCCTGTAAAAATATTTTCACTTCTGTAAATTTAAGCGTATTCATTTTAATAAACGTGAATATGGCCGTATTCACTAGTGCCATTGTAAATAAAGCCGTATTCACTTTTAAAGTGGTGAATACGGCTGTATTTATATTTACACCTGTGAATATGCATCATCTGTATTCATGTTTCTTTTTATGAATATAAATATATTCAGATTTATATTAAAAAATGCCGTAAATATAAATGGTATTCGTATTCATATTTTTCAATATAGATATGGCCATCTCTGCTTCAGAAGACCATAGTGACATCTTTTTGCTGCGACATGTGTTTGCTTCACCTCCTGTTTCATATCATCATCCTCAGTCCCTACCGATCCCAATTATCTGAACGTCTCCACTTTTTCAAATTTGTATCTACCGACTTGGATATAATTCTTAGTTGCCTTATGAAAATATGATTTTCGTTTAGGTCTAGTATGAGTTCTCAATACAGCTATTATGGTTTCATTTATTAGATATACGAATCAATTAATAGTAAAGAATTCGCTAAAGCGGATAAAAGGTACCAGGTAGGTATAATCCATAACCCAGAGCGCTCTAGCGAATAGTCGCTGAACTGATTATGAGTGGAGTCAGAACTAGCGATGGGGTGTGACAGAGAATTTTTGTCACAGCTTCGACAGTGACAGCTCAAAGAAAATCACTGTGACAAATCACAGTGATTTGTCACTACAGTGATTTTTTTTCCGGTGATAAGTATACAATGATTCTTATGCGAAAGCGTCACTGTGAAATCACAGTTTACGTGTTTTAACTTATATTAAAATAAAATATTTTTTTTCCAGTGGTAAATTTTATATTTGAAGGGGGAAAATATATCTGAGATACCTTGGTTTCTGTATATAGCCCTGCCCAAAATATTAACAGCTAACAGAAAACCTTTCCGTTAATTATTTCAGACATAATTCATTCAGAAATATATGGCAATAAATATTCAATTCATCCAAAAATCAGAAAACTATTTTTAATAAAATTTAACGAATAAATATTATTTTTTGAATAATTATTTCATGATTATTCCTTTACTTCGTTTATTAGATAAATGATGTCAACAATGCCCAGATCGCTGGAGCGATAGGAGTGATCAGAGCTGTGGTTCCACAGCGCCTACAGTAACTGTCACCGTGATTTCGGTGCGCCTGTCACTGTGATCACCAGCTCCGGCCAGTCACTGTTACATAATCACAGCTCCGGCCAGTCACTGTTACATAATCCCAGTTTCGGCCAGTCACTGTTACATAATCACAGTTCCTCCTATATGGCTCCATCACTAGTCAGAATTTCGATAACAGCACTGGAGCCAGGGTCCAAAAACCGACCTCATCGCAGGCGAAGGTTTGATGACAAGCTTTGAACCTTGTCTGCCGTTCCAGAGCCGCTGCTTTAAAAAATGGCGGTTGATATAAAGAATACCAGGCCAGTAATTTGATGAACGAAAAGGGAGATCCATTGCTAAAAATGTGAGAAAAGTTTTTATTTTTTTAACTTGTCCAAATAGAGAAAAAAGTCAGATCTTTTGATTTTTCACCTATAACACCTAAACGATAGATCAAAACGTAAAATATACTAATTAATAAATTAAAGAACGTTAAATTATGCGTCGAACGAGTACATGAACTTTATAGTACGGTTACGTGGTAAGGTATAAAACCACGGCCAATCAACGTTTCCAAGTTACAGGGCCATTTATAGTAACTAGAAAACATAATTAAATTTTTAAAAAATTCAATAAATAAAGAGTAAATCACGAATCAAAAATCCTCATTTATAAATAAACAAAATTTCAATTTCAATTAAAAATCGATCTAAAATTATTTATAAGTTATACAAAATAGACTCATACAAAATATTTAATTTCCATTTTAATTTATGTGTGTTATTATCACAATAAATTAAATGTTATGACTAAGCAAGTAAAAAATATATTTATATTAGCAATTCCAACTGAGTTTAAATCGATTTTTATAGAGAACTTCTCTGAAAACAATGTTCTTTTTTAATGTTCTGTTATTGTTTAATGCATAGCCTTGACCATTGTCATTGGAAACATTAACATCAAAATTTTAATATTAATTTTAACGTGCTGTTTACTTGCTGCTACATATAATTGTCCATGTGAAATTACCGGACGTCGCAATAATATATAAATATTTCCAAACGGACCCTGCGATTTGATTATGGTCGTAGCAAACGCAGTTATTAATAAGATCATTGTTCTTTGAAATTCTATTAAAAATATGGTGTCAGAAAATATTAAATTAATTCTTGGAATTAAAATCCTTTTATTTAAAGCAGCGTCTGTCGGTACTTCACTTTCATTCGTGTTCCATTAACTAATGCTGGTGCAGTATTTAAGTTAAGAATGAGTATAACTATAGAATTTATTTTTAAATTTAATTTATGAGGTAACATTCCATGATATCATCTCTTCAAATAATAGTCCCGATCACTTCATTAAATTTAAAGTTCTCGATTTATCAAAAACCAAAATAAAGGAAATCGACTTTGCAAAAGAAAAATTACTAAACGCTTGAAATGATATATCTCTGCAACAAATAATCCGATTTCGATGATTTTTTTTTATTTTGTATGAAATACAGTAAGTTTTGAAAAAAATATTTATTATGTAATAAATATGTATTATTAATAAAAAAAAGTGTACTTATTGAGTTATTTGCAAAAAATACTGAATTCATCATAATAATGTATGCAGCTTGTTTTCGGGAAAGTATGTCATATACATAAATTATATATGTTTCAAGGGGAGAAGACTTTAGCCAAGTTTCATTGAAATCGTTAAAGCCGTTTTGGCACTACAGTCTGAAGAGGATCACGTTTTTCGGCCGCCATTTCGAAAGGAAAGGCCTGAATGAATGAATGAAATGTATAAAAAAACACCTTTAAATATTATTGTGACGTTGTGTCAAACTGTCAAAGAAATCCGTGAAGAACTTTCGGAGATTAGCTGTTTTGAACAAACTACCTTTTATATATTTATTTACACACCATTTCATATTTATATTTATTGATAACGCTAAAGCTCGTCAATAGCTATTAACCAAAAAAAGAAAGAGGAGAATCGGTTGAATAATAGAGAGAAAAAGGGGCTGAACCGTTTTGTGTTTGCCTATGTATATAATAATTTCTCAGTTTTTGATACATCGTTTAGGAGTTATAGATAAAAACAAAAAAAATCTGACTTTTGGGCTGTAAAACGTTTTCCCTCTTCCCATACAAAATATTACAATAATATTTCAATGATTTTTTTTTTCGATCATGTAAAGGAGGTGGCTACAAAGAAATAAATGTAACATTTTTTTTCATTTTCTAAAATGATAATTGTAACTCAGAAAAAATATGAGCTTTCATGAAATCTTAACAAACGGGAAATATAAAATTAAATAATCGTATGAATTAATGAAAAGGTACCTTCAATTAAAAATTCTTAGTAACAAAATCGTCTGTTAAATGTTTAAAATTCAAAGCAGTAAATCACTTTCCTAAAGCTATGAGAAAAAAAAATTACTTTTAAATATTATAACATATATCATGGGAAATTTCGCCTCTATTAAATAAATTTATAAAATGCCATAAATTTTCGTTTGATAAGACCTTCATAAATAAATTTTTAAAGTTATTTACAAATAAAGATTTATAAATGTTTCTTAGAGGCTTCAACATAAGACCAAAGCCTAGACGAAAACACTGGATTAAGTGAGAGATAAAACGGTCAGTTCACCTTTTGTTCACATCCCCGGCTTCAATAGTTGATCATACTCCATCAAATAAGATTAAAGATTAAAAAGAAATAGAAATGAATCAAGAATAATGTTTTAGCTTCGAAAATGGCAGGTATGAATGCAATTTGTGATAGTGTAGACGACACCATTTTACCCTCGGTAATCATTTTGAAATATGCGGAAAGAAAACTTCACGGGGACCTCACTAAATACGGTAACATACTATTTAACTTATTTTTTAAATGTTTGATTTATTTTTACCTAACTTTGATGATCTTTATCTTGTATGTTTATATTTATTCTGTAATTTGTTGATTTGTTACCATGTTTCATGGAAAAATATATAGAAAGAGAAATTATGTCTATCGCGAATAATTATCATGTCCGAGTTAAAAATTATATATATATTTTAAGGTCCGGTACAGTCTAAATAAAGGAAGAAATATTTAATATAAGATAGGGATATATAAAGGCATGTTAACTGACCTCAAGATCTACAAAACAGTTTGTATAAACAACTAAACGATTCAGGATTTTATTTTGGAAAGGCTTCAGACCGAAATTTTTTTTTTGTAGATATATATATATATATTAGGATAATTACTTCGAAATAAAGAAACTAACTATCTATATAAAATGTTGTTTAAGTGATTCTTAAATTATCACGTCCTATTAAATGTAATTATACAAACAATAAAAATTTTAGAGATAATTTTTTATTAAAACATGGTTACATTTTACCATTTTGGGGGCTTCAGCCCGAAATCCCCCACCTCCTGTAGACCCACCTATGATATAAACTATGGTCCGATTTTCTACAGAAAAATATTAAATTTTGTGTTGTTTTTTTAAGTACGTCACGTTTTCTGTTGTAATAATAAGCGATAAAAAAAAAACTTAATTTATGTAATTAATCATTGTTTTAGGGTAAACTAAATTCGCTTCAATGGAAGGTAAAGTTTGTCATTGGTAAAACTATTGAAAGATGATTTTTCTGCGACTAAACTAAGTAAATTTCTGATTTTTTAAAAAATCATGGATTGTAGAAAGTTTATTTATGTAATATTTTTAATTATAATAAAATCCAGGTCATAGAGAAAAATAAACTAAACCTTTGAAATAATTTAGGACAAACACCTTTTTAAGAACAATAACAGTTCATTTTTTTTTTCTTTTTTGTTTCACATATTTTACGGTAATTCCTTCCTCATTTCGCAATTAACATCTACTTAATATGGGCTTGAAGTTTTTAAACGAGGAAGTTTTTCTAAAAGCGAATTATTTGTGGTATAGTTAGATACTAATAAAAAATTTGATGGTAATTGATTTAAAAAAAAAAAATGTAAAACCGCTCGAAATTCCCTTTTAAAAGGGTTTTATTAATTACTGACATTCGATTGAAATAAACTTAGTTCAGTTTACTGTAATGTAATTTTGAGTTACTTAAATTAAATCTCTATTTTTAGGCATCGCAAAACAAAAAGTGTGAATTCCTTAACAAAACACAAACCTTAAAGTTTGATACATTTCTGCAGAAAAAGGAGAGAGAAACACTTTATTTTCATAAAATATAAAGGATTGCTGCCCAATTATATTGGGTTGCTATATACACAGCATACTCTTCTATCCTTAAGACAATATATGAACTTATATATAAATATACAGAAGTATTAGTTAATATTAGTAAAATAGAAATATATATATACATTTTTATTATTTTATTTATTTTTATAATTTTTTTTTTTTTCCTTTTTCCTTCTTCTCATTGTTCATGCTTTTTTTTTTTTTTATTAAGTTTCCCTTTCTCTCACTTCTCTCTCTTTATCTCTATTGTTTTCAATTATTCACTAAATAAATAAATAAACAAATACATAAATTAAAACTCTCGGGCTAGCCATGCACGTGGTGGTGAATGATTCCCAGGGAGTCGAGGACTATATTTTCAGCCAACCACGCTACGTCGAATATAAAAGAAAACGTATGAACTAAAACAAAAGCAAAAACTAAAACTAACATTAAAAACTAAAAAGGCTATATATGACTAAAGCAATAAGTAATAACTAATAATTTCTAATAATAACTATTAATATGATATAGTAATTTAGAAGATTTAAGATATTGTGAAATAAGCAATTAACTAGATTAGAATAAGTGAGTTTTAGTTTAAAATTGTAATTAACGATATTTGTGTAAATAAGCACAATCAAATTAAATAAAGTAATAAGTTTATTTATGTATGTCCAAAAAAAAAATTAAATTAAATAAATTTTGAAGAAACTATTTTGTGAATTTAGCTAAAAAAATTTTTGTGAGTTCATTAAAATGTATCCAGGATATAAAATACTTTCAATAAAACATTGGAATAATGAAAATGTCAGTTAATAAAAATAAAAAAAAAAAGTGTAAAATGTTCAATATATACAGATAAACATTTAACAAGCCAATGTAATATCTTAAATGAAAGTATTATCGCTGTAAAGAAAAATAAATGAAATCCGCACTGCTAATGAATTTTTAAAAAAATTACTTTGAGATGTCTATCGTCTGTTGATAAATCTGAATTGCTATTAATAATTCGGTTTCCAAATTTTAATTGCTATTATAGATCAGTTCATTAATTAAATTATTAGATTAGTTTATCAGATTTTTGTTTATTGAAATATTTAAAATAAGTTAAAAAAAAACATCGTATAATTTCAATAATATTAAAAAATAATTATAAATAATTTGCTAGGACTGTCCCAGAGATTGGTTACTTAACTATTTGGTTAAACAGATAATCAAGGTATTAATAGTTATTTGTTGTTCTTTTCTTATCTGTGTAAAATCAATTCTTTAATTTTATTTAACTACATTTTTCTATCTCAAATTAATTTTTATTTTTCTCCCATTACCTATATTTTAACACTAAAAATGAAATATATATTTCTTTTACTAAACTTAGATTTTCAATAGTATAAAAAAGAAAACCAAAATTATGGACATTGAATGAAGTTGTTTATTGAGATAATACATACTCTTGACGTTAACAATAAAGAGGAAAGTCTTAGGTGATTTAGTCAGAGTATAAAAAAAAGGCAATCTATATATATATATATATATATATATATATATATATATATATATATATATATTATATATATATATATATATATATATATATCTATATATTTTTTTTTTTTTTTTTTGGACCGAACCTCAGGGGGCCTACTAACATCCTGGTTGACCACATACCGATTCTCGATTAAGTACCTGGGGTAGGGTCATCAGTCTTAAGTCCGGTCGGTATCAGTTGCCTTCAGTAGGCTGACGGGCTTCACTTACCCGGGGGAGGGGAGAGACTCGGACAGCATGGCTTTTCCTGGTGGGTGGTCACCCAAATCGAGCGGTCACCCATCCAAGTACTAACCACTCTCGATGTTGCTTAACTATGATTATATATATATATATATATATATATATATATATATACATTTTTGTATGTTTATGTTCGAAAATATGTTAACAAGTAGGGCCTTTGTCGCTCGGTATTCCACGCTTAGATCTCCACCAACGCGCACTGAACACAACACCTCATTCATGGTCAGCCTCACCATACGTATGAGCTTCTGAGCACTAGCGGATCGAGGATTTAGTTTTAAGGGGGCTTCAGCCCGAAAGCTTTTTTTCATAACATTGACAATAATTACTTTGGAAAAAAAGAAAGAAACTAACAATCTATATGAAATGGTGTTTAAGTGATTCCTCAAGTCCTTTAAATGTCATTACACGAACAATAATACTTTAAGAGATAATTTCTTTCCATAAAACAAGGTTATATTTTACCCTTTTGTTGGGGGGAGGGGAGGGATTCAGCCCGAAAGTCCTCCCTCCCCCGTAGAGTGCTTCTGAAGGATATGAAATTCCTCCATGGCTAGTTAAAGTTCATCGCGATTAACTTGAACAAAATATAACAGAACGTGTTAAAAACTCACCATTGAAGAATGCCAATCTAGCATTATATTGTCTGTTTTACATTATTTATTAATTGATTATCACTTATAATTTATATAACACCAATCTGAACGATCCTCCACAACCACAATGGAAAGTCTGCGGCTATAAATTGAGATAATATTAATGATTGTGGCATTGACCTTGCGTAAAATTGTGTCTAGTTTTTTGATTAGCATTTTGATCTCCAATATTCTTTTCTAAAATTAATAAATGAAATAGATATTTTAAATGTTTAGAATTAGTAAACCTTTAAAACACTGCATTGAAAGTATTTTGAATATTTGAGAGATCTAATATTCAATTTTTTACGATTCATGTAATATTTGTACTTTATGGATTATATTGTTTATTAGAAAAAGTATTTAAATATTTTCTTTAAATATATATTACAAATATTTGCTTTTTTTTTTTTTTTAACCAAATTCAGTTTAGTTTGAAATACAAAGAAGTTTAGGGGTTTTCTCCCTCCACTATGTGACATAATCCCCTATACCCATAGCCATCGGCTGTCTCGGGTTTTATTACTTTATTACGGGGACCAAAACTGGGAAGGTAAGGTGTACCTGAAATTTGTTCAGTTGCGATTCAGCAGTGTACCGAGAGTGTTCTTGTACTTCAGTTTGTTGTTAAGATGTCTGCAGACTTAATGTTCGATTCCGAAACTTGCCTAAGTCCCGCGAGTGCCGATGTGAGAGACCTGATGGAAATCACAACTGGCGGCGAGATTGTAGTCGATGAATCAACGATCGACTATAAAATAGAAAGTGAGTTATCAAAAGTCTATTATTTAGTCTTTTATTGTTTTCGGTTAACCTTCATTATTTTTATCGAAGCTTTTTATTTGTTATATGATTGTTTAATTATTTTTTCATTGGTTTATTGCAAATAGTCAGTAAGTAACATTTCATATTATCACTAAGAACATTAATAAATTTTCCTTTTGTAATATCAGAATATTGCGCGGACGTTGGCACCACTATATTTGATATACATAAAAGGGAATATGTCATTTAGTAATTTTTGTTTTATCGATACATCAAATCGGAATTCAGGTTAAAAATCTACTCAATAGTTCATCTCTATGAAAAATGTACTTTTTGAAATAAACTGACAATACGTTTAATTTATTTATTATTTTATTATTGCATTCAATAATGAGATAAAATAAATTAATCCTAGTATAATGGAAGTGGAAATACATAATAATTTATGATCATATTTGCTGCTTGATAAAAAACATGATACTTGTCATATGATTGTTTAATTATTGCTTCCTCACTACCGAAAGTAGGGAAGTATTGTATTCGTGGGAGAGTTTTAGAAAAATTGGTTCTCAAAATCGAATATTTCCACTAGCTTTTTACGTTTCAGACATCAAGGATCAAATTTGGTTCGGTGTCTGCCTAGATGGTTCCATATCAATTTTATTGAATTCTAATCAGCACTTCCGCTTACGCACGCGCCAACGCATTTTTGTGGATATGCCAATATTTCAGAAACGGCTCGTTCGATTTGGCTCAAAGTTGGATAAAGGTTGAGTACCTATAAATAAATGACGTGGGAAAATTTTATTGAATTCTGTCTATTGCTTTCACTTCTATATGCACCAACGTGTTTTCCTTGATACTTCTATATCTCTAAAACCATAACTGATCATATGGAGTGGGAGTTAGGTTATTATATTATTGTCATGGGGTTAAAAAAATTTAGGTTTTATTAAAAAAAAAATAATTTATACTGTATTGTTTGGTCGATTCAAAATGTTACTAGCATGCCACTTACTGCTGTTACTTAGATTTCGTGTAATTTCCAGCAAAGTTAAAGTAATTTTTACTCTGAAATAATAAAAAAAGGCCTTATTTGTGATTGTGGTTATTTCCATTGAATTTAAAATTAGTTCGTCATGGTCTCGATTTGATCCTTAAATATCGAAATTGTGTGAACTTCACTCCTATTTTTATATTCCAGCTTAATTATTTTTGTTCTGACTGAAGAAAAGTATTTGTCTCGTTAACTCCGAACAAATAACAAGTTGAATTTTTCTTAAGGATTTTCCAGTTCCATCCATTTTACGAGTGAAAACATACCTATTAAATACATACAGTCCGCAACTGATATAAATAGTCTGCTACTATGGAAAATAGTAGGGGACAATAAAATATGAAATTTTACTGATAAAGCAAAAAGAAATAATTAGTTTTTATGCTCTCTTGTAAAACAATCAATTGTTGCATACGACTTTTTGCACTAACAGTAGCGATATGCATACAATATATTTAATTTATTAATTATTTTATTATAATTATTTTATTTTATAATTATTTTATTATAATTATATTATTATTTTATTAGAAGATTTAAAGAATGGAGAAACCAGCAATTGTTTGGTAATAGCGGATGATCCAGCCGGTGACGACACTCCAATATATGAGTGTCAACTAGAACGTAAGTTATCATAAGTTTATTTTTTAATCTTTTTGTATTCTGTTCATTATTGTTATTCTTAAGAGACCTTTAGCTTAAGGCCCTAGAATAAAGTTTATTTTCTATTATATTCTAAATCAAGAATATTTTTTTAGCTCTGGACTTGACAATGATGAGTGAGTTAAACAACAGTTTAAAACAACTAGGAATAAAGCGGCCAGCGGACTTCATTGGAAATGGTAATATACAATTTAACTTATTTTTGTAATGTTTGATTCATTTTGACCTAACTTTAATGATCTTTATCTTGCAAGTCATTTCCATACTTAGATTTTTTTCTAAAAACATTAATAGTTTTAGGTGACAGGATATAATATCACATCTTTATTTTATATAGTTTGCGGTGAATCCTTACTTATCTCGTAATAAACCTCTACTTAATTAATATGGGCTCAAAGCTTACAAAGAAGAAAGTTCTTTTTACAAGTAGGACATCGTAGAAGTGTAGTTGAATGGTGATAAAAAAAAAGGGGGAGGGAGTATTTGATATTGATAAAATTTACTTACTATCGTTTGAAGTAATTTTGGTTTAGTTTACATTATAGTAAATTTTTATTACTTAAATTGAATATATTTTTAGGTATCCTATTAAACAAAAAATGTGTCTTCCTTAAAAAAACACAAAACATAAAGTTTGCTACATTTCTGCGGAAAATCGGACCCTTGTTGATATAAACAATTTGTTGTAGCTCTCGAGATTACAACACCTCTTAAAATATTTTCCTTAATTTTCGGGTACTGTTGTCCAAAATTGGTCTGGGTCTCGCACATTGCAAGACCAATACCTAGACCATCTAACTGTTGCAAGACCAAGCCTGCTTAAAAAACAAATCAATTTTTTTTATAAAAATTAAGGCAAAATAGTTACTATATGTAAAGAAATGATATAACCAATATACTTTTGCGTTTAACTCTTTTAATTATTCATCCAGGCTTAGTTAGCTTTCCTCAATCTAAAAACTTACATTAATATTTCTATAGTTTATAAGGAAATATTAACAAGATAATAAGGTAACTGCAAGACTGTTGTGAAACTCTTGCACAAGACCAAGACCAAGACTCGTCTTGATCTTGCATTTGGACAACACTACTTGGCGATATCCTGTGTATCATCCTTTCAATGCATTTCTTTTCGGCATAAAATCAGACGATTGTTATTATATTTTTAGTTAAGTAAGATTTATTCATATACCACAATATATATATATATATTTTATTTTTTTTGGAAGTCGTGAGATCATCTATCACCATTTTTAGACCATCATCAATATTATTTTCAGGCCACACTGTATTCGTGAAGGTAATATTTTTTTATTTTTTCAGACAAAATTAAACAGCGAAGAGTCAATTCTGACTTAAGAGTGAAGGCAGATAACTTAAGAAGAGCAAAGCAGGACGAACCAAGGCAAAGAAAAGTCAAGGAATGGTGGAAGACATAAATTTAAAAAACTAGGAATTGGAAGAAGTTAATGATCGACCGATATAATAAATCTCATGACTCTTTCTGTGTGGGATATATTGGTCAGTTTTGTTCAAAATGAAATCAATTTTGATGAAACTATGTACAGTTACTAATTTAGCTAAACACAAATACTTGTTAGTACTCTTAAAGTGTTTTTTTTATATACTCAATTATTCATATATAATATTTGTTCTATTGTATTATTTCTGAACAAACAAAAATGATATAAAATTAGTTAACTTAGTGGTATTTAGTTCTTACTGGTAGTTTTAGTTCTTAGTTATAATTTTAGAAATTATTTTAATGTAAGATTTAAATGTAAGACTATATAAATTTAAGTTACATATTACTCACTGTAAAATCTGTAAGAAAGAATAACAGCTATTGTACTACAATTAGTAAATTTTATTCAGTAATAAAATTTACTAAAACAATTGTAACTTATTAAAAATATAATCATCATTTAAAATATACTAATAGATTTGTTTTCCTCTTCCATAGTAATCCAAAGCAATAGAACTTTATTATCTAAATTTTACATAACCCATGCTAAATAAAATTGCATATTAAATGTATAAACATTTACATATAATGCTAATTTAGTTTACATTTTAGTTACGGTACTATTTTTTTTTTTTTTTTCTTTTTGTATGTGGAGAAATTAAAAATAATAATTTATAGAAGTAACTAAAACAAAAAGTACAAACAAAAACAAAAGTAAAACCTAAAACAAATAGTAAAAAGTAAAATAACTGTATATGAATCTAAAACAATAAGTAATAACTAATAGCTACTAATAATATGAAATAGTAATTCAAAAGATTTGATATATTGTGAAATAAGTAATTATGTAGATTACAATTAGAGGGTTTTAGTTTAAAATTGTAATTAGAGAGATTTATCGGAATAAGCATAATAGAATTAAATGTAATAAAATGTTAATTTAAATTTACTAAACTTTTGAAGAAACTACATTTTTTATTTTACTAAATCTTTTTTCATTCAAATTTCTTTTTCTTTTTTGTTCTTACCTTTATTTTAACACCAAAACCTATTGTTTATAAAATAAGTTTTGGTGTTAAAATAAAGGTAAGAACAAAAAAGAAAAAGAAATTTGAATGAAAAAAGATTTAGTAAAATAAAAAATGTAGTTTCTTAAAATGTAATTTTTCTAAACACAGAGGCAAACCAAAATTATGGACATTGTATGGCATTGTTCATAAAGTTTAAACATAAAGAATAAAGACTGAGGTGGTTATTCATTGGATAAAAAAAAATGTCAATATAACGATTTGGTATCTTGGTTTTTTTCTAATTTAAAATAATGCTAATTTAAATAAATACATAACATCTACAATGTATGAGAGTTTAAACCATTTTACAATTAAGGAGATAACAACAATTTTAAACTGAAACATTTATCATTTTTGTGAAAATTAGTTTTGGTCGAAGATTCTTCACACCACCATATATTATATACCAGACAAGGGCTGCTTGTTCCTGAGGTTAGTGACCTTCTCAAAGAGTTAGGAGTGGATTGGAAGCCTTCAGGTAAAACCTGCCTGTCCCAGATGGAGAACTTCAGCGCATTAAAGTCACTAAATATTTTGACACTGATTTATACCTGCCTGCCAAGGAGCATAATAGCGGTTAAAAAAATAAAGTCAAAATGTAAAAACTCATCATGTCAACAAAGAGATCATATTAAAATAAAATTAAAAAGGTGTTGTTATACAGTTGTTATTTTAAGATGGTATAAAAAAAATAAAAAAAATGTCTGTCAAGTAAGTTTTTTTTTTAATCTATTTATTGAAGAATAATACAATCAGCCACTGCTGGAGGGCTATAAGTATTAGGGCTAAGAGTTCTCATTCAAACAATATATATAAATAATAGAGAAATAAATATAAATATAAAAAGTAAATAAATAATACTGATGAAGAAACTAAATAAAAGAAAAAAAAGTAAACAATAACATAAAATAGAAACTTTTAAACACAATCATACCTATATACAATATATACATTCGCCCCGGAATCTCCGAGCCAGGCTTTTTCATCCACATGTGGAAGGCAAAGCAAGACTCCAGGAGATCCCAGTGCCACTTTTCCAGCCGCATCACTAGTATTAGAAGCCAGTGGAGACTGAAAGATGGCACTAGAGCCACAGACGCTCAGGACATGAGTGGAGAAGCTGGCCATTGCCAGGACTCCAGAGGCATATTTACAAGAGATCTCTGGGCCACTGCCGTTTTAACCTTCGTGGACGATTGTAGGGATGAAGGGAGCTCTGGATAGGGATTGAGCTAGAGGATTTGGATGATGGATAAGGTTCTGGTGAAAGTTTGAGAATCTAGATGGGATGATGTCGAGGACAAATGGGATGTAAAGGTAATGGTGTAAGGTCTTGTTTGTGCCATAATATGGGGCATTGACTATTGTTCTAAGTACTTTGGACTGGAAGGATTGGATGCGTTTGATATTCGAATGTTTAGCAGTTCCCCACAGTTCAATTCCGTAGGTCCAGATAGGTTGAATGGTCTTGTAGATTAAAAGTTTATTTTTAATCGAAAGATGGGATGTCCTATTTAGTAATCTATACAGCTGGCCATATCGTCGGTTAAGTTCTTGTCTTTTAAGTCTGATATGTGAGTTCCAAGTTAGTCTTTAGTCAAGAAGGAAGCCAAGGTAACGGACTGTGTCTGAGTAGGGAAGTGGAATTGAATTAAAAAGGATTGGCGGGCAGGATCTGAGTCGCAGGGTGAAGGTGATATGTTTGCATTTTGATTTATTGATTTTTATTGCACCATTTTGTTGTTGCACCACTGCTCAATCAAGGAGAGGTGAGATTGTAGGTTTAGAGATGCTATTTGAGTATATGAGTGAGAGGATAGAATGGCAGTATCATCAGCAAATGTAGCTAGAAATGTATCGGGATTTGAAGGGATATCGGAAGTGAAGAGGATGTAGAGAACTGGGGCCAAGACACTGCCTTGTGGAACACCAGCCACAACTGGATAGTAAGTGGAGAATTCGGTGTCACAACGGACTTGAAAGGAACGATTTGAGAGGTAGGATTTGAGGACTAGGTATAAGGATTGGGGTAAATAGGTTTTGAGCTTGAAAAGCAAGCCATCGTGCCACACCCGGTCGAAAGCTTGCGCTACGTCCAGAAAGGCACCAGTGCAATAATGCTTGTTTTCAAGTGCAGAGGATATGTGGTCCACAACGCCTTGTTGGACAGTGGAGTGTCTTGAGCGGAATCCAAACTGATGAGAAGGGATGTTGTGGGATTCAATTATGGGTAGGATATGTTTGAGAAGGATTTTCTCAAAGATTTTTGAGAGGATAGGGAGTAAGCTTATCGGTCTATAGGATGATGTGTCATTAACAGGTTTACCTGGTTTTGGAAACAGGATGATTATGGAGTGTTACCACACCAAAGGAAAGTTGGTTGTGCGAAGGATGCAGTTGTATAAATAGGTAAGGAATATGATTACTTTTTTGGGAAGTTGTCTGAGGATTTGTGAAGTGAGGAGATCATAGCCAGGGGATTTTCGGGGTTTTAATTTGTTTATAAGGAATTTGACCTCAGAGGGGTTAACAGGTTTTGGAGGTAGAGAGAGACGAATTGGTGAAGAGAGGAATTCTTCAACTTCAGCAGTGTGGGTGGGATGGAGTTCGGGATGAGGGGTGAATTTGTAGGATAGATGTTTAGCAAACTCTTCTGCTCTATTCGCATCTGACGAAGCCCAGGAACTATCATCACGGCGAAGTGGATGGGAAATGGACTGGAATTTAAGGATTTTTTTGGTTACATTCCAGAGGGAGTTATCACTAGCGGATAATGAGGAGAGGTAGGAATTGTAGGATTGGGTTCTAAAGGTATCCAGTTTCTTTTTTACCTGTTTGGAATAATAATTATACGATAACCGGTCATCAGGATGCCTGGTTCTTTGCCAAAGAGTCCTATAGCAGCGTTTGCTATGGATTAGGTCCAGTAGGTCTTGAGGTAAAGGATTTATGTTATGGTATTTTTTGGGACGATCAGGTGAGGATGCAGTCCAAGCTGCTTGCTGAATCAGGGTAGTGAAGGAATGCACTGCATCGTCGAGGTCTTTAGGTGTTTTTAAGGAAGCTCTGAGGTCTATATTATCATCCAATATTTGACGGAAAAGATTCCAGTTAACTGCCCCCCTGATAAATGAAGGTGGGGATGATTTGGGAATGAGAGATGTGGAAACGGTTAGGACTAGAGGACTATGATCTGAGGAAAGATCATCAAACCTTGAAATAGAACAGTGTAGTGATCCTAGACCTTTGTGGAGGAAAAAGTCTAGAAGGTCGGGATTGCGGTTGGGATCTGTTGGCCAGTATGTGGGTGTATTAGGTGAAAGGATGTTGCTGCGATGGGAATTAAGTGCAGATAGCAATGTTCGCCCTCGGGAATTTGTGGATCTGGCTCCCCATTGCTGGTGTTTTGCATTTAGATCTGCACCTAGGAGGAAGTGGTGTCCTAAGGAATTCAGGAAGGAAATTATTTGGGATTCGGAAATGGGTGTTTTAGGCGGGGAATATGCCGAAACTAGTGTTATTGGGTAAAGGAGTGTTTGGATTATTACGGCTGTGGATTGTAGGAAATTATGGCTTGGTAAGGGAAACAAATGATGGGAAACGGATCGATGGATAATTATGGCAGTGCCACCATGTGCTGTTCCATCAGGATGGTCAGTTCGATAAATATTGTAGCCGGGCACGTTAATTTGTCGTTTGATGGTTAGTCACAGTTTCATTGAAAAACTGATTTTATATTTACAACTATGAAAAAATCTTGTGCGCTGGGCGCATCACACAACTTTCAGTCACCACCCTCTTCAGAAATATAGAGTAAGTATTTTTAGACGAAGTAAAAGTAAATGCCATATTGATTTATATATTATTGCTTCTGTTTATATTCATATTCATGAATTTTGTTTATATTTATATTCAATATATTTCTGCAGTCTATACAATTAAATATTAAATTATACAATGATACACCGAGTTTAATCAAAACCGTTAGAGCCTTTTTTGAGAAAATTGTGAAAATGTGTTTCAGCGTTCATATTAAGTGGCACTTTCGGTTAGCCGATTTTAAGGAAAAAGTTGCTGTCACATTTAAGGTATATACCTCTCTTAAATACATAATATTAGTTTCGTACGACTTTTCGTTTTTGAGCCAGATTGCTAACATACATACACACAGACACACAGACCATTTTTCGGGAC